AAGGGTAATCATTCCTTTTTCCCATTCCACATGGTAAAGAAACTTTTAATACCCCAAAAATCTGTCTAGTTGTCAAATTCTCTTTTAAGTTGAAGTCAGCTTCAGAATTTATTCACTGAAAGCATAATAGTGAAAAGCTGCCCCCCCCCTCAAGTACCATTTGTATAGACAATTTTAAATTCTTGCCACTTGTGATTTGGAGTGGAGTTACTGAATATAATCCTGTTCCTCTCAACACACATTCTGTGAGTGTTCTTCAATGATGGCAATTATTCATTTCAAAATGAAGTTAAATGGTGGGAGTGTCTGGATTTATCAGACAAGCAGGGAAATTGCCAAGCATGTCAGATCTTGTTTTTCTAGGCTAGTATTGTTCGTTCTGGTCAAACTCATGCAGTAGTATTTCCTATCACTTAGTTCCTTACCTTTTAACAGGGACTTGCGTTTGAAGGCTTCTTCACACAAAGATGTAATGTAGAACAGAGCTATGTTCCTTCCCTAAGTATGTTAGTTCCCCATATGTCCTGATTGGTACCACATGCAGCTAAAGTGCACTATTTAATTTCATTAGAGTTGCCAAATGGCCACTTTTATCAATGGATTAATATTCGGGCTTATTTTTCAGAATGACTTTCTTTTACCTTTGGAAATGTTTTGAAATGTGCTTTTAGGTAAGGGCAATTTTAGAATTTTTGGGTTTGCATTAGATTGTATGATCTTCAGCCAAATTTGTTCGTATTAGGCTAATTGGAAGTTTGGCCTGGTGACTGTTGTTTTTTAAAGTGATATTTTTTAAATCAAGTATTTGAAATTAGGCAGATACTTTAACATTAGCTAATTTAAAAAGCAGCAGTCATGATAAAAAGAATTGTTGGTTAAATATTATGATAGAAATCTAAGCAAATAAAACATCTAAATGTAATTGCACACCCCTAAGGAAGCTTTAGCATAGTTCTCAGGTTCACATGGTAATTTGTTCTTGACACTGAAGAAGTTTTGAAAAAGCAGCTTGCACCCTGACATAAAAAGCAGCCTTCCAAAACAAAATATATTCTGCTGTACTTGAATCTTTGGGTGCATCTAAAGGAAGTCTTTCTGACTTTCATATTATTACTTAACAATGGTAAGTGGGACATGCAATTCTGTGCTAAATGCAGAGACATAAAGCAGAAAATCATATAATCGAGTCGATTTACAGCATTAGTCCCTTTTATTAAATTTATATACCACCCATTTCACTGTTTGCCATAATTAAGCAAATTACACATGGTCATTAAGTGTGATGCAATTGCAACTTCCTGCTGGCTTCCCCGTTCACTTCACTTTGCAGCAAAGATTGCAAATTGTGATCATATGATCACAGATTGCTTGAACCGTTATAGTTGTGTGCTGGTCCATAAGCACTCGAATTGTGATCATAATATGGCTGTGGATACGCTGCAAATGGCCAGAACTTCAAGGATCGGTTATAAGTCTTATTCATTCAGGGCTGTCATAATTTTGAATGGTCACTAAATGAATGGTCATTAAGCAATGACTACCTGTATTGTAAAATGGTGGATCAGCAATTCATTTCAGAAAGCTAGTATCATTGTAGCATGTTAATATATTTCAATCTTCCAGTTGCTTCCTCATAAATACTGCTGATCGCATAATCAGAGTTTATGATGGCCGGGAAATCTTGACTTGTGGTAGAGATGGGGAACCAGAACCAATGCAAAAACTACAGGATTTGGTGAACAGGTAAATATATAAAGTAACTAAGTATTGTAAGGCATAAGAATATGTTTTCTTTGCAATATTCAATAATTAATCGAATAGTTGGTAATAGTTAATCCTGTTACATAGCTGTTTGCTTTGTGACCTTCCAAAACAATAACTATTCATTCAAACATTCAACTTGTCTTATATGACAGACTTCCTTGATTATTGATCTCTCCCCACAGACCCCCCACTTAACAAAAGAAGACCTCAGTCTATATGGCTAAAGGGTAGTAACACCCTTTTAAAAATTGAAACTTACTTTGAGTTATCTTCATAGGATCAAGTTGTAAATTTATAAATGTAAGTTCCCTTTAAGTCAGGCTCAGCTTGTAATAATTACATGGATATATCCATGTTGTTTTTTTAACAATAAAATGAAATGATTTTATCTTTTTTTCCAACTTCCTGGTTTGGTTAACAGTCCTAGAATTTGCTGCTGGTCTATCCTAGTCCTAATTAGGTGAATTTCTGGTTAGGCATTTTGAGATCGGCCAGTCACCTGGATCCTCCTGTTAGCTATTGCTTTGTTTGAAACATTTACATAATGCCCACCCTGCAACAAACTGGGCAGCTTAATAATGGATAATTTTGTACAGTATATTCCCTAATATAGCATTCTGTCATTTAAAATATTGCTATTACATTGGCCAGATTTTGTGTGTGTGTGTGTGTGTGTGTGTGTGTGCGCGCACACTCGCATGCATGCATGCATAAATGCATACATACATACATCCTTCCTACCAGAGTCTTTAAAGTAGCATCATAAATTAAAATCATGTGATATAAAAACTGAACAGAGTAAAATAAATGGAAAATGGAAACCAGGCACCTATACAAGACCATTCTGTAAGGAGCAAAGAGAGACAGATGATCCTATCTTGGTTAAGAAGAGAACTTTCTCGCTGCACCTGCCTATTTAATTTACATAAATTATTGATGCAGACAATTCTGGGACAAGATGAGCCAACAAATGATTTTAGCCAGATTTGCAGAGTTGTTCATTTTTCTGTCCATTTTCATTCATATATTTTTAAAGGCATACATCTGTAAAAGTAGAATCTTCCTTCTGTTATGCTTGTGCAAGCCAAGTTTTGTCCTGAACAGAATTTTAAGAGTCTGGAAAAGTACATTTGAAAGGCTATTGTTGTGCTGCACTTTATTTTTATATTTTCTATTACATTTTGCAATAGCTATTCTAAATAATCACCCAAGGATTGATGGTGTGGTTAATCAGTTTGGGAAATATAGCTTGACCTGAATACTTACATTTATACAGCAGAATTTGCAATTTGCATTTTTTTTTGAATAATATGTCCTTCTTTCCAGATAAAGCATTTTTAGAGTTTGGGGTTGTTGGGTTGTTGTTTTTTTAATCTTTTTATTTTTCCTGCCCTTGAAAAAAAATTGGTTAACTTTTTCTACTAATACCTTTCTTGTAGGACACCTTGGAAGAAATGCTGTTTCTCTGGTGATGGAGAGTATATTGTTGCAGGGTCAGCCCGTCAGCATGCTCTGTACATATGGGAGAAAAGTATTGGCAATCTTGTGAAAATCCTGCATGGCACCAGGGGAGAGCTGTTGCTGGATGTGGCAGTAAGTGCTCCATCTTTCTCTCTGTTCTATTTTGTCAGAATAATGGACCTGATTTGTTTTAATAAAGCTGCTACTTTTCTCCCTCTTCCTGCTGCAATTCTAGTGGCATCCTGTCCGACCAATCATTGCTTCTATTTCCAGTGGAGTGGTATCTATATGGGCACAGAATCAAGTGGTAGGTAGAATTCTGCTGTATTTTATTAGCCTTCTACATTTTGATTTTGAGTGGCGGCTCTCTTTTCATCTATTCGGAATACAGCATTTGCATAAACTTTACTAGGGGTTGTATTCTAAATAAATACAAAATATAGAATAATATAAAAGAATGCAAAAACCATCCAAATGTTTTTAAAAATCCTAATATGGAAAGCAGTTAGACATGAGAAGCAATTACACCCAAAGGCGATACTCTCCTTCGTTGGATGTGCTCGAGAGCTATTTGTCTTGTTGCTTTAATTTTGATTTTTTGCACTGAAGGGAAACTTAGCCGTGATGACTTAGATGACCTCTCCTGTTCCAGATCAATCAAGGGCACCCCGAGAAGTTGAGGCACTAAATTTTCACTTCATATTTAAGCAAAAACAAACACTAGCAGGCAGCGTTTTGTGCAAGCATGCACAAGTTTAATCAAACAAATTCAAATTACAAGAGTCCAAAGCAGCAGGTGAAGATATTATTAGGTTATGAGAGAGTGACAGTTTTATGAAGCAGGAGATTCTAGGCTTTTGGGGCAAAGATCAGGATAGAAGGGTTGTCCCCAAATTGGCTTTTAAGTGGAACCTTTATGAGGTGGATCACAATCAACACCTTTGAGAGCTGTACGCAACGAATTTTCATTTTAATGTATGCTGATCAATGTATGTTCAAAGTGACAATAAAGTTATTCTAAGTTCTAACACTGGAAACACTCTTGTTGGGCGAGGAGGGCCATAGAGTGATTTTGCTGCTCAGTATATAGCATGGTGTGATTGAAAAGCTGTTGCTCATTGTTTGCAAGGTGCTTATCTGCTACATGGCGTCACAAGTTTGAAATGTTTTTGGGTGGGGGGGAATTTATGGTTTAGGAAAACTGGAGTGCCTTTGCACCTGATTTTAAAGAGCTGGATGAAAATGTAGAATATGAAGAACGGGAGTCTGAATTTGACATAGAAGATGAAGATAAAAGTGAGCCAGAACAGACAGGTAAAGAATGTATTATTTTAAATTTATTTTAAAAGAAGAACTACCCTGCTGGAGATGTCAATGCCCATTTGAATCCAGCAATTTTTTTTTCTTATCATGGCAAATTGGATACCTTTGTGGCAGGAGATTAAAACATACTGCTTTCTTTGAATCGTCCAATCAACAGATGATGGTTGTCTTCACCTGCTGACAGCCAGTTGCCAGCAGTATGACTGGAGGCCAGCTGCCATAAGAAAGCCATGTGAAGCTTCAGAACTGGGGTCCATGCTAAGTAAATGTATGTGACCTAACCTTAATCTTTAAAATAGTAAAGTTAGTGTAAAATTAAAGAGATCCTTTTGAAGCGCTGCACTGCTGTTTAAAGAATGTATGGTATGAGTTATCTCACATTTAAAAGTAGTGCAGCTTAATGTCTTTTTGTTAATATGTTAAATTGTCAGAATTTATACTTTATAAAATACTTTATAAGAATTTATACTCTATAAAATAAAAGATATCTTTGCCTATAGAGGATATAGCAAATCCCAGTTATATATTATAATCATAATTATATTGCATATTATATTAATTATATTTATACGTATACATACTTAGCTTGCATTAAGATGATATTTTTTTTAAAAAAACCTCTATAAAGCATGGCATCTACATGTCTGCTTTGTTTGTTGTTTTATTTCATTATATACGTTTACTAATATAGAACTAACACCAGACTAAAAACTTTAATGGCCTGGTGCCTTTAACATGTTTTTCTGACTGTCTATTATCCCACATTCAAATCAGAAATATGGAGTACAGCCTTGTTACTCGGCTGATCACAATATGTATAATTACAATATGTAATTACTGATAACTATCTTAGTATTAATTGTTGTAGTCCCGGCAGAATAAATCGTTCTTGGGTATATTTGAACACACATTTAAATACCCTCTTGTAAGCTGTATATTAGGATGGTTTATCTGTAACAATCCTTTCTGGGGAACCAGAAACATTGATGGGACTTATTTCTAACAATACTCATGACTTCATCCTTCTAACTGAAAATGTATACCTTATCCCAGGGCTCACTTTTTCTTTCTTTCCCTTTCCTTTCTCTATTATTTATCATTCCTGAGCCTACAGTGTGCAGGAGTTTTTTAAGCTAAACAATTAAGTGCCTTCTTTACTTTGGAATAATGGACGTTACGACTTTTGTTGTGATTGTTTCATTGCATTTGTTGTTTAGTTTTTTTAAAATGATTATAGAAATGTTTAATGTTTAAAAGTTTATTATTTTATTGGCACATAAAAAGTATGCGTATACAAATATAGAATTATTCTGTTAATGATTCTGTATGAACTAAGCCACATTACATGAAACTTCTATTAAAAGCATAATAAAATTGAATGTGTTACAAGAATACAGCTGTTGTTTAAATAATCTAATAAATCTCTCCAGGAGATTGCTAGAGGATAGCGAACATTGTCAATGCCTATTTTTATTGTAAGTTTTTTTTGTTGCTTTTGCACCCAAGAGAGCCCAAAGCAGTATAAAGTATATATACTTTATTATAAAGTAATAAAGAATGATAAAAGAAATAAAATCTAGTAACAAATTTCCATTAAAAAAAGAGTAAAACATTTTGAAAGCTCTAATTTAAAAGAGCATTCAATTAAATAACATTTAATTCGGGACTCCCTGTTACCTTGCGGATGTTTACATGAGCGAGTCTGTTAATGATATTTGAAACAGAATAGCATCTGAATTAATAGTGCATCTCTTAGGAGGGCATTCTATTAACTAGAAGTAAGAATAGTATGTATTTAACATTATGGTTTACTATCATTTTATCTCCATTAATTTGCTAATGCAGAACAGCACTTATCAAGTAAATAAATGCTAATGGTCTCCTAATTTTTGATTCTGACTTTCGTTACTTGACAGGTGCTGATGCTGCAGAAGATGAGGAAGTGGATGTAACTAGTGTAGACCCTATTGCAGCTTTTTGTAGCAGGTAATTGGTAATGGCCCAGCTATTACAAGGCTATAAATAAATTTTAGTTGATTCAGATTATGAGTATGAATTATTTGTGTGTGTATACTTCAGAACCAAGTCCTGCCCATTCAGTAATCTTTATTGCTTGTTAAATCAGATTAACCTTGAAGCTTTAAAATATCTGTGCTGTGATTAGGATGCTAGCACTGATCAAAAATACCCTTGTGTAAGGGTCTGTTATAAATAACATCTAATTTAAACCAAGAAATGTAAATATCCCTCTTCCAAATTTTTGAAGGATGCTTTTCTCTTATAACAGTTGTGTGGTTAATGTAATTTGTAGTGAAACTTATTAGGAAACCAGGACTGTTGTTGAGCAATGTATTCTTTTTGCCATATGTGAGATGCCTTCACAGCATGCACTTGAATGGTTAAGGTAGGGGTCATGATAATACCCTCTAGGAGAACACAAGAGTACAAAATCAAATAAAGAAACATTCTTTCCTTCCCTCATGAGCTGTGTGTTGCTAATGAAAAAAATAAATGATTTCTCTGACAGTGATGAAGAACTGGAAGACTCTAAAGCTTTACTCTACTTGCCTATTGCTCCTGAGGTGGAAGACCCAGAGGAAAATCCATATGGACCTCCACCAGATGCAGTTCAGACTGCTTTACCCGATGATGGGATAGGCTCTGAGAAGAAGCGGCCATCTTTGTCCGATGGACCTCAACCTCCAAAGAAGAAACCTAAAACCACCAACATAGAACTGCAGGGAGTACCTAATGATGGTGGGTAGAGATTCCTTTTCATTCCTGTATAGAAAAGAATACTTTTGAATTGGACATCTTCTCTACCCTTTACCTCATTACACAAATTTTAAAGTTCCTGTTTTACACAACTTTTAGCAAGCATTGTGGGAGCACTCTGTTTGCCTTCTCCAGATTGTTCATCAAAAGCTTTTGGAAAAAACTCATCTCCCTAAATATTGACCAATGCAGGCATATAATGCCTCCTCTGGATTACCAAAAGGCTGCACGAGTGCTTCAGTGGATACAAATGGCTCATCCTCCACAGCACTCACTACATCTGTGAGAATTTTTCAGTGCATGGCACAGATCATGCATTGCAAGAATATTGTGCTTTGGAGGGTATGCCATTTAATTCATCTGGATTATTTGCCAAAACCTTGGGGAGTGAACAGTGCCTCTAGCATGAGTCATTGAAGGTATGCAGCAGGCCTTGCCAGAAAATAATCATATTCAGAATTCCCTGAATGTGATTGACTGATGGACAAAGCTTTTTTTTTTTCAAAGCAAATTGCATTGTCTCATTGTTTCAGTGGAGTGAATCAGCTCATCTCATCTTAAGGTGGTGATAAAGTTGCTGAAATGCCTATCTTCTTTTCAGGGATAGATTAGTTACAGGAGAAAGGAAGCATGGCTTCAATTAAAATCATATCCTGATTGTCCCACAGTAAAAAAAATGAAGCTGAAAAGAGGTGGCTGTTTCAGGAAGACAGTGCTCTCAAATCAAATATAGTTCTAATTCACCTGAGAAATACTTACAAGAAAGAAATGAAAAGGTTTTGGAGTGGTCTTCAGAGCCTATAAATATTAACTATTGTTGCAGATTTGTGGGGAGAATTTAAACATGCAGTGCATACAAGAAGACTTGTGAACGTTCCTGCAAGGATAATTGACAGAAAAAGAATCGAAAAGCAAGAAGGAAAAACCTCTTAGCTTACTACAAGAAATGTTTGACAGCTACTAATTCAGCCAATGAAAATATTACAGACACTGTCCAAAGTTTTGCCACTGGCACATTCACTGTTTACTTATTTTGAATCTATAAAGAACCATACACCAGTTATATGTATGTATGTTTGCAGAAACATGTGTTTGACTTTGTACCACGATGTCAGTTTTTGCTCCTTTAGTTCAATTCATTGAAATTTGACCTGAGACACCTAAACTTTTACATACAACTGTGTTCCTGTGATCTGCACAGATTTGGAAAATAAACAACAGAGTGAATATGTAGGTTTTCTCTTTTTTTTTAAAAAAAAAAAAAGAAACTACACACTTTCTGTTCTAAACTTTTACAGAAGTCCATCCACTGCTGGGTGTAAAAGGAGATGGTAAATCCAAGAAGAAGCAAGCAGGGAGACCTAAAGGATCAAAAGGTAAAGAGAAAGATTCTCCATTTAAACCGAAACTCTACAAAGGGGACAGAGGTTCTTTACCTCTGGAAGGAGCAGCGAAGGGTAAAGTGCAGGCGGAGCTGGGACAGCCTTTGCCAGGTAAGGACCCACCGTGAGCCTCTGCTTGCTTGGTGACCTTGCTTTGTACAGAAATGGCCTAATCTGAGCAGTTGAACTTCTCAAACACTACATGCTTGCTAAATGTTTAGTTGCTGTGCGCTCAAGGATAGACAGAATTGTACTTTCTGAATTGTAACATTTAGTCTTCATCACAAATATTGGTAAGTTCTGTAACGCTCATTCTTCAAGAATGTAAGCCCTAAAAGAAGAATGTAATTTTACCACAAGGAGAAGCAAGCTGTTGATGTTGATTCTCTTTAGTTGATACCATTATAATTTCACAATCTAAATTAGCTGTTACAGAAAATCCCAGAAGCTGAAAATAAAGTGATAAGAAATAGTGGAAACTAAAATTCTTTTCAGAATGCAACTGTTATCTTCTTTTTTTAATGTTATACCCTTTGAAGATGCTAGATGATTTTTGTGACCAATGGAGCCAGTTTCCTCCCTCCCCTCTATGACTCCCTATATATAAAGTTACTGCATGGGCATTTATTATCCCTCCAGAAGTTGTGAATGCACCAACACTGGAAGTTTTTAAGAAGATGTTGGAAAACCATTTGTCTGAAATGGTATAGGGTTTCCTGCTAAGCAGAGGGTTAAACTAGAGGACCTCCAAGGTCCCTTCCAACCCTGTTATTACTTCCTTTGTGAAAGGAATTTCTGAAGTTCTTATAGCATCCCCTTAGCAATTATTTTTGTATGCCCCAGTTTTCAAGATTCTTTTCTCCAGTGTTAAAAATTGGAGTATTAGATTTGCCATGAAAGATCTTCTTTTTAATGGCTAGGATGCAGTCATCCTTCCCTGATGAGATAATGACTCTCCAGTGGACTTTTCATTCTCTCTGATCTTTAACCCTACAATTTGCTTTGATGTTCCTGTTGTTTTTCAGTGTTATTACTGGGAGGGAGGAAATGCTTTCCCTCATGCTGGGGATTGTTCAAAATATTCCTAGAAAAATTGGAGCAAGTGGGAGGAGCAGCTCACTATTCCTGTGGAAAACCTTCAGGTTCCACTCTAAACTCTTAGGGAGGAAATCATCTTTTGAGCAACTGTGCTACCAGCAGAGAACCTCAGTGCTAAGACGTTTGCTTTTATCAAGTTCCATGATATTAATTGACAAGGGGCAAGGTTGCAACTCGTTCCATTACACTGAATTTTTTTAGAATTCTGTATAGGCAGTCCACAACCTACAGCCAAAATTGAGCCCAACGTTTCTATTGCTAAGTGAAACATCTGTTGCTGCCCCATTTTACGACCTTTCTTGCCACCGTGAATCACTGCAGTTGTTCAGTTAGTAACACCGTTGTGAAGTGAATCTGGCTTCCCCATTGACTTTGCTTGTCAGAAGGTTACAAAAGGTGGTCACATGACCTTGGGACACTGCAGCCGATATAAATATGAGTCTGTTGTCAAAGCATCTGAATTTTGATCACATGAGCATGGAGATGCTACAATGCTTGTAAGTGTGAAAAAAGGGTCACAAATCACTTTTTTTCAGCCCTGTTGTAACTTTGAATGGTCACTAAATGAACTGCTGTAAATCGAGAATGACCTGTAGTTCCAACTGAGTGGAATCATTTTCATCTTTCCAATCTGTATACAGATGACAAACTATTTTCTGCTCAATTCCTTGATGAGGCTCAATGATAAAAGAAATGGGTATGGGTGAAACATTAAGTGATTTTTGCAAGTTTTTTTATAACAGCTGTTAAGTAGATATTCACAGGTAACTCAGCCTAAAATATTTTGTATGTCCTTGAAGCTCAGTAGCTACTGCTGTGAATTTTATAATTTCCGTAACCCTTATTTTCCTCATTGCTGGCCCACTGTTACCAGCTTGCTCATTGTCCTTCCTGCTCTGCTCCTGTTTTGTTGCTTTTATGATGATATTATCCCCTGAATTGTTGCTTACAAATGAGGATTAGGAAGCTTTGCAGCCTTCCAAGTCATAAACTTGTTTCCATATTTTTTTTCCTGAGAGCTAATTTTATGTTTTAACTGTTCAACATTTGTTTAACAATAATCAGAAGTTGTGTGTCTGTATACGGTAAAAGCTATCCTATTCCTAGGCAGAAATAAAAGTGCAATTAAATGACATTAAATTTTCTAATGGTCTCTATGGGATTATTAATCCCTGAGTTTCATTGGAACCAGCACAGAGATCAGCTCCAGGAAGTTGGAGACGGATCCTGCAGGGTAGTCAATAAATCAGCAGGATCCGCACTCATAGCCCAGAGTCTTCAAGGTACATTTCCTGGATTTAGGTAAAGTATTTCTGATTATCAAAGTCATCCTGATTCCCATCTTGAGCATACTGAAGCAACTGATAAGTGGCAGGGCAGATCTCCAAAAAGACTACAATGTTGCCCTTGGTCAGCCACGTCTTAGTCATACAACACTTCCTCCTGATTCCATATAGAATTCATGCTTTATTGTCTAGGACAGGGGTGTCAAACTCAAGGCCCGCAGGCCAAATCGGCCTGCAAGGTGCTTAGAACTTGCCTGTGGGGCTACGCTGGAAACAGCGAAGAATTAGCTTGCTGTGCCTCTGCCAGCAAAAACGGAGCTCAGGAGGGTCATGTCCCAGCGTGCAGCTCCCCCGGAATATGTTTTTGGCCGCAATGGCCTCCTGCAGCCCTCTGCCAGCTCTATTTTCGCTGGCAGAAGGTTGCAGGAGGCCATCGCGGCCAGAAATGGAGCCTGGGGCAGCGATACGCTGGCAGAGAGCTGAAGGAGTGACGGTGAGCAGGCCATACCCATTCCAACCACACCCACCCAGCCCCCTGAGGTCAAACACAACCCTGATGTGGCTCTCAATGAAATTGAGTTTGACAGCCCTGGTCTAGGACATCTTGCCTTCTTGAACTTGGTACTTTTCACTATTTCTATCAGCTTGGCCAAAATTGGCTTTGGGTTATGAGAGACCCACTATTTTATAATACCAGATTGGGTAGGCTTCATTAATTTCAGGTTTGGGAAGCTAGGTTATTGGCTGGCTTGTTGATATTCTAGCTATAGTTCATTCCAACCTTGAACTTGATTTTAAGATACAGTGGTCACGATTTAGGAAAATATAGTAGAAATGGGTTGGCTCCCTCTATGCCAGACCCATATAAAAGGTACAGGAAAAAGGCACATTCATAAATTAGAAATAATTGCAAAGGAATATCTGGTGTACTTTTAAACTGTTTAGTGGTTGGCAAAGTGACAGCAGTGATAGAGCTGGCAGTGGTACCTGGTGCTTGGCAAATTAATTTAAAAAAATACCAGTGGTCCACACAGACTTTGTGTTGGGCCATATGTGTCCTGTGTGCCATATGTTATATAAGCCTGCTCTGTACGATTATAAATCAGTTTATGAGACCATAATTGTGTGAACTATTTTTGAAATTGTGAAAACATCCTGGCAAATTGAATTTCGTGGGAAAGAATACTGCTTCCTTGTCAGACAAACAAGAAACTGTGTGCCCTGTGTAGAGTTTAATTTATAAACTGATCTTGAGATAAGTTTGCTATATAGGTCCTGCGTTTGTTACTTGAGGTTTTGATCCTCAATTTCTTTACTACAGAGAGCACTCTGACAGTGTAGATTAGATCCACAGAGTTGGAAGGGATCTTGTAGGTCATCTAGTCCAAGTCCCCGCCCAAGCAGGAGACCCTACACCATTTCTGACAAATGGCAGTCCAGTAGCAGTGAGGGGAAGTCCTGAATTTTTCTGAAATTTACTTACTTTTGCAACCGTTTGGGGAAAAAAAGCTAAAATCAGGAAGCAAATAGTACCTCCCTTTGTTTCTACACCAGGTGTGGATGATTTTTGTAGTGTTTATATTTTCTGCAAACTGTCTGAATTCTATTGAGAATATCAGTAATACTTGATTCTTCTTTTCTTTTGGTTTTGATTTTTAGCAGGTGGTGGAATCTCGGAGTTGTTATGAAAGCTTCCCTCCTCATTCTTTTTTCTTACTTTGACGTCATTACATGGAATAAGGACAAATGTTAAGTCAGATAATGGACTGCCTTCATGTGGGGAAAAAAATCTGACTTAACTGCCTGCATCTCCAGGGAACAATTTTTATGCAAATTATGGAAGAGGAACATTTTTGTCCCTAGAGATTTCTTTTTACTAATAGTAAATGGACAAGGAAAGATTTATATAAAATCTGATGGGAAAGAACTGGTTTTTGCCCATAATATTCTTAGAGTTCCCTAGAGTACAAAGTATGGAACAAGCTAAGAAGCATGTACATGAGTCTTGGTTACTTTATGTTACATGGCTTTTCTTGAGAGAGAAAAATGCTGGAATCTCATTGAATTCCTCCAACAGGCTTGTGACTGGCTAAAGCAAATTACTCTGAGCCTTCTTGTTGTTTATTTTTCAACTACATTGAATTGTAAATGCAGTTAGTGCTTAGCTTACTATCCTACAGCAATGAGATATTGTAAATTGATCTAGTTTTCAAACGGGCTGTTAAAATCCAGAGGTCTCTGATGTATAAGAACAAGAACTATTTTTCCAAGGGAGAAAAGGAGCATATAAAAAAGTAAGCAGAGTGAGTAAAAAGCATGAGAGACTCTTGTTTCTTCTCACCATGTTTTAAACACATCCAGAGATGCTTGTTTTCCAAACCTTTTAATGTTCTAGGGAGAACAAACTTTCCCTAGACTCCATAGAGGAAGTGTATAGAAATGGAAAACACGGACTTCCAGTATATTAAATGGATTCATTTTGTTCATATGCTCTGAAAACAATTTGAGGGTGTGACTGCTGGTCCTGGGTCTATTTTACAAAACAGGCCTTTCTTCAGGAGATATTTAAATGATGACAGCGATGTCTTCAAAGTGCAAAGCTAAAGGATATACAGGTGATTTACATACTTAACATCTATCTATAGCAGGGTTGACAAACTCCCGGCCAGATGCGTCACATGCTGGCCACGCCCATGCCCGGTTTAGACAGGGGGGAAGGGGAAAGTCCTTTTACATCACATGATGCCACCATGATGATGTGAATTTCACACCCCTGATCTATAGAAAGAATAAATGTGTTTTAAATATGCCTTTTAGTTTCTTTTGTTTTCTGCATAATGTCCTGTGGTATGTTTTTTCTAATTATATCCTGAGTTGAAATCTCATATTTTGTATATTATTATTTATGCCATCCTCACTTTTAGAAATTTATGCAACGTTTCCTTATAAAATCTAGTCACCTACAGAGCTTTCCAGTGCATATGAAGAATAATAGAAAAGCTGGTTGGATAATGACTGTTGTATTGTTTATGTGGTATTGTGAATTCAAATCAGATCTGTTTTCTACAGTTTAGTGTGCTTTATTTTTTAGTTTTCTATTATTATTATTTGTTACTATTGTAGTTTGTACATAACCTGAAAAATAATTGCTTTGTAGCTACTGTAAAGTACTGTTGTGATGTTAGCGTCTCTATTTGTAAATAAAGAGGTACATTTTATTTCTTAAATATTGTAATCTGCTTTTTTTTTGTACTAGTTTTATTCAAACAAGTTGTAGAATAGTTTCTTTAATCTAGCCCTTAATTGATAAATCGATTGACATACAAGTTGTTAGCCGCCCTGAGTCCCCTCAGGGAAAAGGGCGGCCTATAAATAAACTCAACTACTACATGTGCCATCAAGTCACGTTCAGCTCCTAACAAGTACATGCTATTAGGGTAATTTGTGATGTACTCTGGTCATTTTAATTGAAGTGCAAACATTATTCTGAAGAAACTAATGGATTGTAACTGTCCTTTTCAGAACTGAGAAAAAAATTGCAAACTAAAGAGTGAGAAGTATCATAAGAAGCTTATTACATAAGGCTATTAAATGTAATATAAAATTATAATAAGAACAAAGAGGAAGAGTAATGAAGGACAGCTTCCATGATACATGTACTTTTATAACTTAATTTGAGCAAGAAGTTTGTCATGTACATGATGGCCACGTCATGCCACATCAGAATCATGCAGTGATTAGTAAAATAATATTTTAACATCCAGGGATGATAAAAGAATGACTATCATTACCGTAGCAACCTTCCACCATAAATTTCATTCTGAAGACCATTCACACAAAGCATCAATTATTATGGAACAGTAATATGATCTAAAGTCTGACAGTGTTCAAGCAGTGCTCCCTTTTCCCAGCATTTCATAAAAGATCAGTCAGAAAAGCTAATCCTCTGTTTTCTGATATATTTTTTCTAGCGTTGATGCCGTACTTCAGTAACTCCCAAAAATGTTATGAAGAATTCAAGTGCACATTCTCTATTTCTGTCTCTTCATAGCATTGCTCTATATATACATTGCCAGTATTTTCAGTATATGTAAGTCTTGTTTTAATGAGTTCATCTTATTACCATCAATTCCATTCATCTTACTGCATTTCTACTACCATTCCTTTTTATTTGGGTTTTAAGTATACACATACAGTACACCGTACCACACAATTGCCATTGCAGTCCAGATGTACTAAGTGTGCAACTAATTCCTAACTGTGTGTTGTTGAATTACAATAAAAGCTATTTACCCCATCCCCATCTCTTTTTTAGGTCCAGCCCATTGCAGTCATACTGCTGAAATTCAGAAGAAAAAAGAACACAGTACTGCAAGCAGGATACAGCAGGATTGTTGGTCTTTTTAACAATTTTATAAAAGCTCCATGTACTCAAGAAAAAATAGGTTTAAATAATTTCCCTATACTATAACATTATTGCTTCACTGCCATATTATTGGCAGCTACTGAAAGACAAAACTGTTGTTGAAATTGCCATTCCTGAGTGAGAGCACTGCTGTGATTGGGAAAACATGTTGGAAACTCACAAAATCCTCTTCTGATATTTTGGAGACCCAAGATGGGAAAGGGAGCAGTAAGACAAGATCCTAGAAAGGCCAATTCTGGATTTAAACCATTCCAGTCATTCAATTCCTTGGCTATCATGCTCCAAACCATGCTGGAGAATCACAATGAATATTCAGTTTCTGCCTTGATAATTATGTAATCTGTGATTCTTTTAATATATATTTTAGGTACGCATCAGATAAGTTTAAATTACTCATATTACCTTTCTGTAACTGGAAGCACTACTCAATGACATGAGTGGAATGCTTTGGCTTTTCAGATGTATAGTTTTATTATAGAATGGTTCTTTGTGACATCACAGTTTTAAAACTGACTGCATTCTGCAATGGCATATGTTGTTGCATGAGCACCGTGAAGAAAAGAGCCAGACAAATTTCTTTCTTAATAGTTTATGCTTACCATGGAAAATAACAGCCCAATTTACATGTTTCTAATACCCTTAATATAGGGTATGTCTTTTTCATCACAAATACAAAGTTTTATTATTCCAATTGGTTTAAATTTGAATATATAATGTGGATTTCAACTTTAGGTAAGTATTGCTTTTACTCTCCCCCCTTGTCTGAATCCAATATTTTCTACATTAGTGGATTTTTGGAATAAAAGTGTTTTATGGGAAGGGCAGCCGTATCTTCACGAAAGAATTGGGGTAAAAGCATGTCAGTTATCCAACCCCATCATTCTCTGAATGCCTTAAATCAGTAGTAGGTGTTTCCCCTTTCTCACCTATACCTGGTGACTTACTGCAGTACATTGCAGGTGGACAATGTTCATTGCCTATCAAGGTTCCTAGTTTAAATCCCTCAGACAGTATTTTTTTTAAATGCTTGAAATGGAAAGTTTTATATAAATATTTAAATAAAATTATTCTCTTAGTAAAATATAATAAGACTGTAATAAGCTTCTACATAAATATTGGTATTTAAACAAAAAAGATTTGGCAAGCTATTGAAATGGTCTATTTCAATTTAAGGCAATCTCATTTGTTCACGGAACTGAGAAAACATAATTATAGCATAAATAGGCCTTAGGAGTTTCTGTATTTCTAGGCCAAATCAGATAATTTTGAAGAAAAAAAGGGTTATGGCAGCCTGTTGTTGGAGTTCACTAGTTCATAGGATACTGATGCTAAGACTAGTAGTAGTATTAAATCTGAGACACTGGTATGGAGCAGTGCTTTCAATGCATATCTTTATTTATAATGGTCCATTTATAAGCTGAGACAGAAAAGATGTACTGGTAGTTGCTCATAAAGATAGCTGTAACTGATTTTCCTGGCTTGGCTGCTTCAGGTATCACATGATCAATTAAGGACCCATATATATGTTTGAAAATATGAAAAAATATCAATATGTATATGGAAGCTTATTACATTCCTCTTATATTTTACTAAGGAAATAACTTTATTTAAATATTTATATAAAACTTTCAATTTCAAGCATTTTTAAAAAGTTCATAATAAATTGATTTTTAATATACAATAGGAGTTGTACTTTATCTGTATCACCTGCAGTCTGATTTTTATTTTAAAAAAAACACATTTTACTATGTTAATAAGCTGCTTTCTTTTGGCAGTATGTCAAGGAGCAGTCTTTGTGGATTCCTCATGTCCAGGGACTTTGTTGATATTTTAAATGAATGACAATTAGATCATTTGAACAGACAATGGAATGGATCCTAAAAGGTCTCTTCAGGTATCACGATGGCAGAAGCCTATTTTATTGTTAAATTGTTGTTAGCATTTGCTTTCTGATAACCTGTTTCCATGGCTTCTATTGGAACAATTACTATTCCCGTCAAAATGAGAACTGCTACTGCCAGAATTTCAATCAGTTCCACCAGCTGCAGCGTGACCTGTGGCATGGGTTACAAAGTTGAAGAAACATGTCAGATTGGGCCTAATGGTGAAAGGAGGTACTGTGATATTCAGAAAGTGGAGTGCTTGACCAACTGGCTCTGTGGGATGCTCCATTTCACTATTCTTGTAGGTAAGCCTTTTGAATTCCAGTGCTTGTCCTCTACTGAAATTGGCCCTGAAAGTAACAGCTTCAGTTGTTCATGGAGGATAGCCAGAGGTATCATTACCACTGATGATGTTCTCTTTAAACCATTCAAGACTGCTGGCTTTGTCATTAAGCTTTCCCCAGCCAAAGAATACGATGCAGGGACATACAGGTGTGACGTGCAGTTCATGAGAAGCTATAAGATTGTCAAAAGAATCTACTTTGGAATTCGTGTGATCCCTGGTCACTTGGTGGATCTGAACTTTGACAAATCCTTGACTCTGGAACAGCACTTGGAAGGTGAGAAGGAAGAAAGCCAGCAGAATGCCACTGGTGTTCCTGTCCAGAACCAGCATCACCTTTGGCGCCGAAGAACTCTTTTTGTATTTTCAATAGGCATTGGAAGTGGTGTAGTAGGAGGAATCTTGTTGCACAACATTTTCTACTATTTAGTGAAAGTTCCCAATAATTATGGATATGTGGAAGAATAAAAATGTTTTTTCTTGTAGTTGTGGTGTATGCTGATTGCTGTATTTAATCATTTTGCTGTATTGTTTATAGTTATTAAGATTAGATTGTAAAATCACAGTGACACTTAATGTATTTAGAAAGCAATAATATATCTTGTTCCTTAATTGTATTTCATAAAACTTTAAAGACAGTACAAAACATGTAAATCAGTACATCTTTTGATGTGAGTTCAGTACATGCTTTCATATAGAAAATCCTAAATTCAGTTTTTAGGGCCGGAAAGAATCCCTACAACATTGGAATATCTTCCAAGTCAACATAGATCAGGTTTTTTTTAGAAATGGATACTCTCCCAATATCTTGGGAATACATATCTCAGAATTCCTAGCAGGTTAGTCAACAACTAGGCTCAGTAAGAATGGTAATCTCACCCAGTTTGGGAAGAACCGTGTGAGCTAGAGATGAGTATTGAAGATGAGATTCAAACCCATTTCACATTCTAATGCAGCATTTCTCAGATTAGGCAATTTAAGACATGTGGACTTCAGTTCCCAGAATTCTCCAGCAGATAAAGGAAGAGAGGAGAGAGGTTCATCTACCCAGGCAAGATTCTGTTACTGTAACTGCATAATAAACATAGTACTCATGACTTCAGTTTCCAAACCTGAGTTACCTTAAAGGCCTGGCATCAATCTTACAAGTCCCTCCGTTTATTTTCTAGAGAGCTAGGAAGAGTAAAACCAATTACATTTCTGTCTTGAATTCATTTCTTTAATTTGCCCAGTCTTGGTTGTAGTTCTTGCTACTGTTCCTCAAGGTTATTCGTACTGTCCTCACTGTTGCTTTTCATTTATTCAGTTACTGAATCCCTGCTTTTTCCTTGCCTGAACTTTCCTAATGACAGGAGAGCACCCATGGCCTTCAAGCATAAAATACTGTTTAATGATAATGTTATGTCCCAGGCATCAATCAACAAGAGTCCAATTAACCTTAAACATGTACATATATACATACACACACATATACATGTGTACGCATATATTATGCATATATAAAATATCGAAAACTTTAACTACAATAAGTAAAACAAACTATGGTAGAACAAAAAAGAGAAAAGAAATAAAAAGTATAAAAAGAAAAAATAGAAGAAAAGTAGAGAAAGAAATAAGATACAAAGAAAGATATAAAAAAGAGCTTCCAATCTCAGCAAATTTAAGTACAATTATATCTTAACCTAAGTACATCATGACTCTTCCTTTTATAAGCTGTAATGATTGAAAATAATTTTTCCAATGATTTCTTTATTTTTTAAAAATGTCTTGATGCTGCATCTTTTATTTGAAATCATAAGAATGAGAACTGGGGAATGTGAACTGAGTTACCTGACATCAGAGTGAAACAAGCACTCTTTGTTTTCCTGTCAATATTTGGATTTGTAAGATGCAGACAACTAACCATGATGTCGGCCTCTGCTTTGCTGCTGCTTCAGCTGCCATTGAAACAGGGAGGGGGGGCATGGTATTTGGGAGGGGATTCATTGTTGTGCTGGAGGAAGATTCTGGATTTTGAACCTTACTGCGCATGTGGAGGAGGAGGTTTCCCGCCAAGGCCAACGGATCA